TAATAATTATAAAGATTGGACTACAAGATCATGCACCTCAGTTGATCCAGTGAATGATACTTTATTGATTTCCATGTGTTCAGATATGGCGGCCCCTGCTGTAGGGCCGTAACCAGCGATGATGTTTAGTACACCAGGAGGAAAGCCAGCCTGACAAATTAAATGACATAATGATTTTTATGCTCTCTTGAGGAAATCTCTCAATTGAGGATCTTTGATGATCGACACAGTAATTTTTGAGGTTTGTTATACTTGTAAATTGAGGATTATAACAGTGAATCTTAATAAAGATTGCAAGGATCCTAAACCTTTTTAAGTGCCAAATTCAAAATGTTGATTCTTCTTACTGATAACCTGCACACAGTTTTTTTTTCAGCATCAGTTCTGAGAATTACATGGTTGATCAAGACAATATAACATAGTTGATGCATTTTTCCTTTCTTTTTGTCACTTGCCTGCTTGCTAATGTATGGTACTGTAATGAGAAATTAGATTCTGATCACTACTGGGAATTAAAGGGTTACTTTTTGCCATGATCTATTACAATTAGAAGAGCACAACAAAACAAACCTAAGTGCAACTACTTGAATGCAATTTTGACACTGGTACTTTATTATTAGTAAGGGCAAGTGGTTTTCTATGAATTGTCTTCTTTGGTGTGTTTGTCCCCTGGCAGAACACATGACTAATAATTTTGCATCATACACATGTAAGAGTTGACCAACACAGCAGCTGTCATGAATAAGGCCTATTTTTCATATTGAGCAAGTCAATGGAATCTTCGTCACCTCTTGAAAGAGAGATCCCAGATACAGAGCTGTTAATGGAGTTTGCTCAGCTGGTTTAAGTATGGCAACATTGCCACAAGCCAGGGATGGAGCAAGCTTCAAGCTGCTCAAGAGGAGAGGAAAGTTCCATGGGGTAATGGCTCCAACAACACCCACAGGCTCATGTCTAGTGTACACAAAGAAAGGACCATCTGCAAAAAACAGTAAAACAGAGCAAAGTTACCAGTCATGATACTTATTGAATGCACAGCTGGGAGAAATCTCAAGCATGGTTAAAATTACAGGCATTACCGGTAATATCGCGCATCATACATGTACTGTGTGAACAAAATTTTTGTGGGAGTTTATTTTTGGAATCAGCGAATTTCTGTATTTTGCTGGAACTAATTTTTGCGATGGTAAAAGACTGGTTTTTCTAACTGGGTACTAATTTTTGCGATTTTCGGGAAGTCACGTTTAATTGAAATTACAACATTTTTGCTTTTTTAAATTAATTTGCATGCAATTGACAAGTCAAACAACATGCAGAGATGTAAAACACAGTAATCCAGTTATAGGTGTCACTCTATTACAATTACATCATGGTCTTGTGCGGAATTGTAGATGCTATTCCCAATGGAGTACCCTCAGATGATCCTTTCCTGTAAACCTTTCTTTATTTCTGAAGGCATGTTTTGTTTCTCATTTCATTGTTTTGTTTCTGAACAAAAGAGATGTTTGAAATAAAATGGCTGCAACAAGATTCTACTTGTGATGTGTTTGTATGTATAACTTCACCAGTGGAGTAAATTTTTGCTGAGAAAATTGTTTTGGAGGCAATGTCTTTCTGGGGGGGCATCATGGAAAAAAACTGCAAAAATTAGAACCCACAAAAATTTTGTGCCACATGGTATAATTATAGAGTGAAACCTCTATTAAGCAGACCCCCAATTAAGCGGACACTCTCTATTAAGCCAACACTTAGCCTTGTCGGAAATTAACATCTTATATTTTGCTTTATAATGAACCCCTATTCAGCAGACACCTCTATTAAGTGGACGTGGACACTAAAATAAATTGTATTTGGCTAATTTCTGTTGTTAAAAACCTCTAATAAGCGGACACTGGATGAATTGACAATGTGGCATTGGATTACATCCTTGAAACAGTCGATTAAATAGTCGATTAAATGTACCTGTATTATCGCTTCTGTATTGAAAGGGCATTATTACAAACCAATTAAAGTTGGGAACAAAAGGTGATGAACTTGAACTCAAGATACAACCTGGAACTTTATTACATTACAGAGGAACCGTTGAATGTTAATTGTTTACAAACATTGCACAATTGTTGTAAACCTTTATTAAGCAGACACTTGGGAAGGTCCCGACGGTGTTCGTTTAATAAAGGTTTCACTTTACTCTAATGGCTGTAGCCTGAATTGCATATTTAATTACAAAACCAGCCCAAACTTTTATACAAGCACATGCATGATTATTTGTTTATTAATTCTTAATTAGGATAGTGTCCAAATAAGTAATATGGACAGTTCCATACACAACATATAGTTAATAAGTAAGAGGACTACATAAAATTGTCTTACAAATTTAGAAATAATAGGATTTAAAAACTTCTTCAACAGCCAAATTGGACTTTATAGCCT